CCTCCCCGCCCTCCCAAACCTCCGCAGCTCTAAGGGCACCCGGCGCTTCCCCCCTTCCATCTTCCCACTGTGGCGGAGCCCAAAAGGGACCCCCAGCCACCAAGAGAAAAAAAAAAGAGGGAAAAGCAACGGGGCGCACATTATTTCAGCAACGTGCCAGTTCTAATCCTGCCAAGAGATTATAGGAAGAAAGAAGAAAAATACAAAAATAAAACCACCAAACAAGTAGCGACAAGCACGGAGCAGCCCCAGCACACAGTGTAAACAGAAGCTGCCCCGATCCGGAGTCCAGCTCTCCCGGAAAGCAACAGCACAACATGCTTTGTACACCCCGAAAGGTCCCTGCAGCGCTGAGCAGCGAAGGGGGAGGTTGTGGTTTTAAGCTCGAGTTGATTATTTTTTGCCTTTCTGCAAAAGGCTGAAGTGATCTCGGAGTCTCCAAGCGGCGTCTGCAGCACGGAGCCTGGCCAGGTGGGGAAAGGGATGGGGGAAAAGTGCCACGGGAAGAGGCGGGACTGGGATACGGGGACACCGAGATGGCGAGAGTAGGTGTCAGGGCTTTGCAGCTGGGAAATCTGGACAAGGGAAGGGAGAGAGCAAACAAATACAAAAAAAAAATAGAGATATAAAAGCAATTTGTGCGGAGGAGGAGGAGAATATGGACAGTAAAATCAGGGCTACTGTCGTCTTCCCCAAAGCAAGAATAATAATAAAAAAATCCCAGTTGAGGTGACAGTGAAGAGTCTGACAGAATTCCCTTCCCTGGGGGAAAATAAAAATACAAATGAGGTACCTGTTCCACCCCAAAGCCATCACCCCTTCCCACAGTCACATCAATGCTCCAGCCACTGGTTATTGTCTCTCTGAAATAAAATATTTGGGTCCAGGGTGGCCCAAGCAGAAGCACCATGCGCATGGCTGGGCCACGGCGCGCTCTCAGCGCCGGGAGCCCTCGTCCAGTTCCTCCCGGTTGGGTTGTTCAGCAGAGATCCAGTCTCTCCTTGACCCCGCAAACAGACGGTATTGTTCAGTGCTCCACGGAGACAGAGCCTTTTCCACGTCTCACGTGTTTCTCCAGCTTTTTTGTTTAAAAAAAAATTATATATATATATATATATAATATACAGTACAATTAAAATATCCATGGAAACAAATGGGGTGGCTGGAAAAGATGCTTAACAAAAAAGCCCAAAATAAAAACAAATTCCCAACTCTTCCCCAAACTGACGCTTGCCTTTCCCACTAGTCCTCCAAGACCACAATCTCCACATTATGGACCTGGTGCTGATGGTCCTCCACATCTCCCACCACTTTCTCCTCAGTCCTCAGCTCCGTCTCCAGGATCACAGCTTTGCCCTCCGACTCGTCCGTGTCTGCTTCGGGATCTGGCGCTGGGTCGATCTCTATGATGGTCTGCCCATCATCTGAGGTGCCCTCCACGGCTTGGATGGTGGAAGTGAGGCCAGACTCCATGGCCACCAGTTCCACGGGGTTGACCACGGCTGCCACATTGGCCAGGGCACCGCTGTCCTGCATGGCGGCCGAGCTCAGCAGCGCCAGGCTGGAGGACGGGTGCAGGGTGACTGTGTCGGAGGAGCTGGTCTTGGAGGAGGACACCACGGTGGCGTATCGGAAGAGCTGAGAGCCAGATGGCAAAGTATGAACAGTCACCGGGCTGGAGCCTTGGCTAATGGTTGCCACCGGGATGTTGCCCACAGAGAACTGTTGTCCAACGGGTGCGATAGCGATGGGCGAGATGACGGTGAACTGAGGCTGCTGGATGGGGGTGGAGGGGCTGAGGACGGTGGCGGAGGCTGGGCGCTGCAGGCGGGGTCTCTTGGGGGGCTTGGGAGCGCTGACGGGCATCAGCACCACGTTCTGGATGGTTTGGGACTTTGCCTTCTGGTCCTTGGCAAGTTTCTTCTGCTCTTCCAGCTGCCGCTCCAGGTCTGCAAAGAGAATGGCTGAGCAGCATGTTGGGCTGGGGCCAGCACGCTGTGGTAGCTCCTGGGGTAGCACAGGCTCCCCAAACCAACCAGCACACCCCACGTTGGCGACAGGAGGTCTCCTAACCACCCAGGTGGGCATGATCGTAGCATTTCACTCAAGATCAAACCGCACTGACAGAAAAGGCTGGATTCTCCTGCCACCCACATAGACCTGGTCAGTGCTCTGCACCCCCTCAGCCTGCTTGGGGCGCCTGTCAGTGCCTGGATAAGGCACAGGCAATGCTCTATAACCATTTGTCATTTCCATTACCTTCCCACTGAGGAGACAATGGCCATTTCTGCTCCCAAGCTAGACCCACCTACGAGGGAGAGTGGACCAAGCCCCTCCAGACAATAGGCACTTATTCCTGAGCTTGGCTGGGTCCTCTCTCCAGGAGCTGAGCGCCTGTCCTGGAGACAGGGAGAAGGACTGCCCCGCTCAGTGAAACAACATCCCAGAATCATCCTGGTTGGAAAAGCCCTTGAGGCTCCCCCAGCCCAACCGTGAACCTCACCCTGACTGTTCCCAACTCCCCCAGATCCCTCAGCCCTGGGTCAGCCTGACTTTCAACCCCTCCAGGGATCCCGGGGACTCCCCCCCTGCCCTGGGCAGCCCATTCCAACGCCCAACAGCCCCTTCTGCACAGAAATCCTTCCTCAGAGCCAGCCTGACCCTGCCCTGGGCAGCTTGAGGCCATTCCCCCTGGGCCTGGCACTGGCTCCTTGGCTCCAGAGACTCATCCGCCCTCTCTGCCCCCTCCTGGCAGGGAGTTGCAGAGGGCCAGGAGGTCTCCCCTCAGCCTCCTCTTCTCCAGACTGAACCCCCCCAGTTCCCTCAGCCGCTCCCCAGCAGACATGTGCTCCCTCAACCCTTGTCTGTGTGAACACTGGAAGTCAGAAGTAGCCCAGTAATCTCATTTATCCAGGGCAGTAGGGGACTAGGACATCCCAGATAAGAACAGGTTCTACAGAACACGGTGAGGAGGGAGACATATCCAGCAAGCAGCTCTGGGGAATCCAGGTCAGGTTATTGGCTTCTGCTCAGGGGAAGCCGTGCAAGACACCTGATAGCTCCACGCCAAGACAAGCAGAGAGCTCAGCACACTGTACATGGGCACAGCACGGCGCTGCCTGCAGCTCGGAGGGCTGCAGCACACCTCTTAGCTAGCAGCACCTATTTCCTAATGCCGACAGAACCGGAGTTGCACCCCCAGCTCCTTGGCTGCAGCAAAGGGCACAGACTTCGGGCTGTCAAATGCTCCAAGTAACAGCTGACTGTGAGGGAAGGGAGAAGGAAAATTCCACATAAGTCCTAGGATAGAAAGGGATCGGGATGAGTTTGTTTGGGGGCAGCGTGTACTGAGCAATAACCCCAATGTGGCTCGTGTGTGGAAGGAAAGTCACATCAGTTCCCAAGAGCAGCAGCAGGAGGAGAAGCCTTACTAGGCACTGACCGTACCTGCCAGTGTGTAAAGAAACTGCTCCTCTCCTTGCTCTGTCTGGTTTTTCCTGTTGTCCAGAACCTTCTTGACTGTGTCCATTAGGCCAAATGTGTGGGCAACGTTGTTCAAGACTGCAGCATCTGCAAGGAAAGTGGGGATGAGTGCCTCGTCCCACAGGTGGGACTCAGGCACTCAAAAGATGCTCATATTACACAAAAAATTTTCTACTGCTTTTTGTAGAACTATCTCTGTTCTTCCACAAGGGCTGGCTGACAAGGGCAGACCCAGCTCCCGCATCCTTCTGACATCCAAGGACTAAATAATCCCATTCACATGATAAAGAAAATGAAACAGAGATGTGTCACCCAAGCAGCTCAAAATTGCTGCAAATGAAAGCATAATTTGCAATCACAGAGATACAAACGAGCTCTCCACCTACAAATCATCACCCCATGCTGCTGACAGTGTCATTAACATGCCAGCTCCACTGAAAGCTGTGCAAAATTTCTATTATAATCCACTGACTTCAATCACTCGCAGCTTCCAAAAGCTGCCACCTACCAGACACAAAGATCCGGCAGCCCAAAGCTAAATTAGAAAATAAAAAAAATTATCCTGGGTAAAATGAAGTTTGTTGGCTACATGGATGTTCTCTCAGCAAGAGCATCAATAAGAGGTGCTCTCAAACCCTGGGCTCACAGGACTGGATTAGGGAACTGATCCAAGCTAAAAATAACCCTAAAGAGGGGAGAGGAGTTATTTTTAACCCGGATCAGTTCCCTCATCTGGTTCAGCCCCAAAAACAGGTTTTCTGGCACAAGTGAAGACAGAAGGAGAAGTGAGGGGGCAGGACCTGTTTAAGCCTGCACTGTCACAGAGAAAAGCGTTTGACTAACTCTGGTCCGAAGAGTGAATCTGGGCAGGCTTTCCTGAGGGCTGGGAGCTGAGGACAGTTGCCCGATGGTCTCAGGAAGCTGCTGGGATCATTTTGTGCAGGGAACAGGGTGGCACATTGTGACCTTGTGCCCCGCAGTGGTGCAAGTGAACGCACTTCACAGCTGGGCAGGCTGAGACCACACACAGACTCAGGTCAGCCTGTGAGTGGTAACTCACTCACCATCCTGACTCAACACCTTTACATGGGGGGGACGGACCCTTCTCACTTTTTTTTTTTTGCCTGCAGCTGTCTGTTTGAGCATCCTTCCTCACCACAGACCCAGAGGCTGTGGCTCACAACCTACCTGTCATCTGGAAGGGAGACTGACCCAACCTCTGCTGGACGCCTCTTAGAACTTCTTCTATCTCCTTCTGGATGTTGCATACAACCTCCTCCATCAGCCCCACATCAGCTATTCCTTTCCAGAACATCAGCGTGTCCTCTGGTGCAAGGAGAAGGGAAAAGAAGTCAACATGTACAAGCACTTGGCACTTTCCCACAAGGCCACCTTAAACCTTTCAGGCAAGAATAACTTTGCAAGCTGACTTCTAATTTTGCCATGGGGATGGATTTGATATGCAAAAAAGTAAAAACCCCCAAAGAAGCAAAACAGACCCAGGCAGCAAACCAGTAACATGCTTTCAAGCAGCACCATGACTTCCAAGGCAACATTTTGCATCTTTGCAAGACGCAGAGCTTAAAATCTTTTGAGACAATTCTGCCTAGGCTTCTGTACTGATCCTAAGAGGGAAGGCAAGGCACCGCAGCCAAGAGAGCTGACAGGGTACTAACAAGAGGTACTAATAAGACACTGCTCCCTGATGTTTTAGTCTAGCTCCAGGCTGGCAGACGTTTACATCCTTCGAACGAACACAAAACCAGCTCCTCACTGTAACTAGTAGCAACTAATCTGGGGGATCATCCACCAGCCACAAGGCCAGGGCTCAAGTCCCTCTCTGCCTGCAGTGCTGAGGAGCTCCATTTGGCAGGGACCCTGCAAGCCTGGGAAATGTGGGGATAGGCAAGGGGCTGGGGACAGCTCTGCCATTGCCTAAACTCGCCTTATTTTCAGGATTTCAGTCTCCAGAATGTAACAGGTGAGGAGAGGGGAAAAAAAATACATCCAACAAGCAGCCTGAGCTTACCCGAGATCTCATCCGTGTCCTTTTTCATGCCTTCCTCAGTGGCCATGGTGACGGCAGCCGTCAGAGCCGAGTTCCACTCGATCCCCTCCTCCATGCTCTCCTCTGACAGCGCGATCTGGGTGATGCTCCCTGCCAGAGAGGCAACGTCAGCTCTCTCTGCAGCACCCGGAGTGCCAGCCCTGAATCCCTGCTTTGCTTTCCACCTCCCTCACCCCTCCCAGGCTTTTTTTCACTCTCATGGCCAGGTTGTTTGTGCCTGGCTTTTTTCAACCAAATTAGCTAAAAGCAAATATTGCTGCTTCTCACTGGAACTGTGATTGTGAAAGGCTCTGGGGCTTCTGGAGGGAAAACCATGTGCCCTCCAAAAAGCAATCTGGAGTCCTGGCATAAAAGGGAGCAGAAAAGGATCAAAATGAAGAAAGGAACAAATGAGCCTCAACCCAGCCACCCTTCTCCCCTTGCATCATCAACAGGGAGCTCTGCACCCCAGAGATGCCCTAATCTCTCAGGAAATTGAAGGGTCCAAGCTAGTTTATAAAAGGGAAGCGGATCTGACTCAGTCCTAAATTTCTGGATCAAATCTGGGACTAAGCCAATGCACAGCCACTGTAAGGTTTTACCATGTCCTTTCCAGAAGATTCTCCTTAGCATATGGACAACTCTGCCATCTCCCCCACTCAGAGACCTGGAGAAACGTAACCTGCCCAGCTGAACAATGCGGTACAGCTGGGAGTCATCCTCTCCCTTAACCTCAGCAAAGAGAGCACTTTCTATTCTGAAGCATGGGATTTGAGAGAATTTGCAGCTGAAATGGCAATCCAACCATGTCCAGCCATCAAACCCCCTTCATGGATGTCCAGGGGATGTGGAGCAGGTGGCTCTGGAGGAGGTCAGCATCCCTAAATTTATTCCTGAGTATAAGCTCATCTTGTGCCTTTGTAATAGACTCTCAAATAGGAAAGACATCAGAAAACACTGTGCAAGCTCTCAGGTGATCCCAGATCCCTTCAAGGTGAGCCTCCCCTGGCTCCCAAGGCTGCCTCTAGTCACTGCTTAATACCAGCTGCTTTCCAGCCCTTGTGCTGCTGGGGAGCTCCCTGCCAGCTGCCTACGAGACCTCTCTGAGGGGACAGGAGAAGCATTTGCCTTCCAAGAAACCAGAGCAGTCTCCTGAGTAGTGGGACTGCCCTGCTTCGCCCAAAGAGAAGCTGTAAAGTGTGTGTGTGTGTGGGGTCAACTTGATTTCATTAGTCCAGGGAGGGAGAGGAGCACCAGAGGGAAACTCCCACAGAATCACAGAAACATCTCAGCTGTAAAAGCCCTTGAAGCTCCTCCAGTCCAAGCATGAACCTCACCCTGACCGTTCCCAACTCCCCCAGATCCCTCAGTGCTGGGTCAGCCCGACTCTTCAACCCCTCCAGGGATGGGGACTCCCCCCTGCCCTGAGCAGCCCATTCCAACGCCCAACAGCCCCTTCTGCAAAGAAATCCTTCCTCAGAGCCAGTCTTCCATGGCACTGTGAACTGCTTTCCTACCGTCGGCTGATGTAGGAGTCTGCACCACACTCTGCTGCCCCGGCACTGGTGCTCTGGCGCTGCTGATCAGGAGATCAAACTTGGTGCTTCGACAGGTGTTGGTGCAAACTTTGTCATGCTGGTAGAAGTCAATTTGCCCCGAGTCCATCATCTTCCTGTGCAGGGAGTGGGGAGAGAACCAGGCTTAGCTCAAGTCTCAGCCTGGAGACAAAAGGGAGTATTCCGTGTAGAATGCTAGGGCCGTGGGAAGGACAGAGAAAGGGAAACCCAAGGGCCACTCTGCACACAAAACACCTCCTGCAGGGCTTTCAAATGGCCAATACGAGCCACCCGCCAGCTTCGCACACAGGGCTCCAGTCCTGTTCCACCCCCACCAAATACCAGGTCCCCCAGGCGAGGCCACTTCTGTACAGGATGAGGAATCCTGCCCCTCAGACCACGGGGCCAGGATCTCTGCAGGCTGCTGGCCAGGTAACGTGAGCTTCCACGAGATCTCCCGGGGACTGCAAAGCAGACAAAACGCCTGCTTGGGATCCTGCAGCTGCAGTGATGCAGCCCTGAAGCTGGACACAGTGATAAGCACGTGAAATACCTCAGCATGATTCCTCCGAGGCGAATGGCTCTCTTCCAGTCCTTTAGGGTAGACTTCCCAGCCAGGTGAACAAAATGCTTCGGGCTGATCAGTTGGTCATTGAACTGACAATGAGATAAGCAAAGGCTCAGCAAACAAGTTAAAATCACCTTGGAAGACTGTATTGAGACATCCGACACAGCCAGTCCACAGGTCACCTAAGCCCCCACTTCCACCCAGGAGTAGGAGCTGCTTCTCAAATCCCTGCCAGCTTTGATCCCCTCAGCACAGCAAAGCTTCTAACTCCAGAATGGGTATGTTTATAGGGGTGACCTGCCAGCCATCGGCATTCAAACCACACAGCTCGAGCCAAGAACGGCCCTGACGGCTTTCGTATGAAGCATGAACCAAGCTCCTCTGTGAACACATACAGTCATCCCGGAGATCGTCATGGGAGACTCCTGTTACATCAAACAGCCGAGCAACTTCTTGCTGACAGGGGTATTCACTAGGGCATCTGTTCTGTCCTGCTCCAGTGACTAAGATAGTTCCCGTTGTGGGTCAGCAACAGAGCGCTCTCGCCGCTGCAGCACACGGGGCCTCAGCCTCAACACATCAGCTGTTACATTACCACACTCTCAAGTGGAAAAAGGGAACAGCAAGATTTCTCTTCTTGATGCAACCTCCTCACTGAGGAAGTGACAGGAGTGGAGTATCAGGACACGAAGGGAAAGAGACAAGGAAGAAAAGCTCTGGCAGATCTCAGTAAAAGTTCCCTGCCTGCCTTCAGCTCCACATCCCTCATCAAGTGCCAAACACAACAGTAATCAAGAGCAGCACTGAAATATAAGGTGGGTGATAGGCCTTCACTCCTTAAACCACTCCTGCCCTGCTTCTCCCCAGGCTCGAAACAATTTTAGCAGTAATAATCCATCACACTGCAAAGGCAAAGTCACTCGGCTCCAGGACAAGACTCAGATGAAACAGAAAAAGTAAGAAAGTCCTGTGAAGGTCAAGCACCTTGAGAGTGGAGAAGGAGTCTGCTGTGAAAACTCCCTTACCTTGACACACTTGACATTAATTCCTGGACAGACGAACTTCTTCCAGAGCAGGATGGCTTTGCTCTCCCCGCAGGTGATGGGATAGGCGATCTCTATTTCCTCGTTCGTTTCAATGGTGCTGGGGTCTGAGGGGGAGAACAGGTAAAAATGAAACTTTCCACCCAAAAGGCTCAAATCCCACAAGGTGGGAGCTGAAAGCTCACAGGTTGAGACCTACACTCAGGAAACCAAAAGAAGGGCCGATCCCAGTTCAGGATCAGCTCTCTCTTAGTCTTCTCCAGTTACCAGCTCTAACAGCAACTGGCATCTGCACACACACACACACATATATATATATATATATATATATTTATTTAATACAAAGGTAATCTATCAGTAGATCGTGAGGTCAGAAATCCAAGACATCTAAAAGGAGCAGGGGGTCAATAAGAGCAACCTTGGTGGAAACAAAATGCTTTAAAATTTGAAGCACAGACCTCTCTCAGATTTCCTGGAGCTCTGGTGTCTCTTTAGCAGCGATATCAGATATTTACTGATAATACATTCTCGTCACACGCAGAGTTTCTGCTAATACTGCCAAAAGACCCACACCCACAGAAGCAGAACACCAGTGAAGATCTAGTGACAGCACCTAATGACAGGAGCTTTTTCCCTACATACTCCTCAGGATGGAAGGGAGCATTCGGAGCCAACCTGCTGGGTTCTTCTCAACACCCAACCCAAACTGGCAGGCTGTTCGTTCAGCAAAGAACCAGCAATCAGGGTGTGATGCCTCTGCCAGTGCAGACACAACTGCCATCCTCACAACCACCATTCCTGCCTGCTAGTGTCTGCACCCCAAGACTAGGGTGAAACCTCGGCTCCCCTGGACCCCATGGGAGCCCTTACCATTCATTCCAGGAGAGCCAGGATCTCAGTTCCAGGACTTTGAGCCCAAGCAGTAACAGCAGACTCTTAATCCAGAGTATGCCCAGACCCTGCACCCACATCCATGCCTGGGAAACAGCATCTGCAGGGGCAGAGCCAGAAGGAAGCCCAGCGAACTGGAGACACCAGCTCAGCGGTGACCAGCCCTGCCCAGGAGGGGATTCTGCCCACGCCAAGCGGGAACTCACCGATCCCTTCTTCTAGCTTGTGGATGGTGTGGGTTTCAACGGCCACTACGGCAGTGCTGGCCTCGGAGCCCTCTTGGTAAATCCTGTCGTGAAAGCAGCCATCCATAAACAAACCATATAAATCATGGGAAATTAAGATTCACAGCACGAGGTTAAAAATTCGGTTCGTTTCTTTTTTGCCCGTCTTGCAGGGATGTAGATTTAGTTCGATACAGTTTCAATCAGGCTTTTTTTGCATACAAAAAAAAAGAAAATTACGATAATAATCCCAAGGACTGAAACACGCAGAGGCGTTCCCAGTCCTGTCATCGCACCCTCCACGTTGCCAGCGCCACTGAAGCAGCTCTGCAGCGAGCTTCCCTGTGCCTCCTCCTCTGGTTTCTGATACAGGCAGTTACCCACGACAACAGGAAGCAGAGCTCAATGCCCCAGGATTTCCCTTCCAGCCCTGTGCGACACTGCAGCACGGGTGATCACGCAGGGAAGAGTCACTGTCAGGCCTACAGCCACCCTGCTCTGTGAATATTATCAAACTGGAGCCAGGATATTTACATCCTGATTGATCCAGAGTTAAGGTGAAGTGCCTGGTGGCAGCCACTTCTCCGCAGCAGCTGCCAGGGGTACCACAAAATTCCCTCCAACATCCCAGCTTCATTGTATTTCAGAGGAGGACTATTTTAGGGGAAAGCTGGAAGAGGTATATGCAGATCTGGATGCACGGACCACCACATACAGCAGCTGCAGTATGGCAAAAACCCAGCCAGGGGCCGGAGTGGGAAGAGGGAGATCAGGAAGACGCGGGGCTGGGGCAGCACCGCGACCACCTCACCGCTTCCCCGCTGCCACAACCGTCCCCAGGCTGCTGTGACCCAGAGACAGCATCGTGCGGACACGTCCCCGCAGGACAATTTCATTCCTCAGAGGCCCCATGACAACGACACACACAAAAGCTTTTTTTTTTTGCGTTGTATTTTTCTCTCTATGGTGCGTGGCACAAAACTGACGCGGACCTGGAAAACGTAGCGATGCTCGGTCCCCACACCACAAAAATCTACTGGGCTCCCCCCCATCGCACCCCACACCTCCCAGACACACCAGTACCATCCAACTCACCCTTGCTGCACCGGCTGGAGCTGCAAGATCACTTGGGTTTTGGTATCCTCCGGGTTCTCCCCTTCGTTTCCGTCACTTGGTACAACCACCACATCACCCACAGGGACGCTCACTTCGGCATTCGCCATCTCTCACATGAAGCCCGGCGGTGGCGGGGTGCCGCGGTGCTGCAGAGGGCAAAGCAGAGGCAGGTCTGTACCGCGGCAGCACCGCTGCCTGTGCAGGCAGAGGGGCAGGCAGCGGTGTATAAGCATGATCGCCCAGGCCCACCGCAGCAAAGGCTGGGCTAGCGGGGACCGCGGGGCCAGCAGAGCAAAGCTCCAGCTCCAAAGCAGGGACCAGGCATTTTAAATTCACCACCAGAGAGAGACAGCAAGTGCCTGTCAGCACACACAAGGATTTCTCCTCCCCTCTCGATCACGATAGCTGGGAGCATCTCATCCGACGACACAAAACCGAGAGGCAGATCCCCCACTGCCATCCCACTCACAACTTCCCGAGCGGGCAGCAGGCAGCGGCTCCCCCCGTTCCTCACACACAGCCCGGCCAAGCAGTGGGGTTTGGCAAGAGCACACGAGAAGGTTTCTGAGATGCGGCTTCTCCCCCACCCTGGCTGGCAGCACTTCCAGCCGGCCTTGGGACGCTCTGTTCCCTCGCTCCCAGGACCGTGCCTGGGACTGACCCTTCCCGCCGCACAGGGGCTGCGGAGAAGCCGGTATTCCCGGTGGCACCGGCCGCAGATCCTCGCAGGGGGTCACCGGGCAGCGATGCGCTGGCCACGGGCTGTTCCTCCCACCTAAAGGTGGTTTTGTTCCTGCTGCGGGGCTGGCGCTCAGCCCAGCACGGGTCACTATCACCCCCTCGGGGTTTAAAAGCTTCTGGGATGTTGTGTCAGGAGAGGAGCTCAGGGCAGGGACGGGGGCTCGCGGCGGGCCCAAGGGACGCGTCCCCCGGCCGGCTCGGGCCCACACCCCCCCTCCCCGCGGGGCACCGCGCCTCGACCACCGCT